GGTTGTACCACGGGCCAGGCACCGGGCTCTGATGGTGATGGTGCCGCCTGAGCTCGCCCAACCAGCACGGCCAGGCTCTGCTGGATGTCCTGTAAGAGCGCCATTTGGTGACACTGCATTTCTACCACATCTAGCAAGACCGTCCTCAGGGTCCTCACATCATCATCCACATTCGTCAGGTCCATCTCCTCTAACTCACCAACGTCCGCTTGTCTCCGCTGCATCCTTGCTCTTCTCCTAATCATTCTCTCTTTTTCTGCCTTCATCTCCCCTAAAGCCTTCTGTAGCTGTGCCTCCTGAACATCTGCTTGTCGTATGGCGATCTCTTCGGGAGTCAGAACTTACAGCTGGCTTGCCATGACGCCAATGGACTGACTCAGGGTCTGTGCGACCGTTTACCCTACAGTCCCTGAACTACTAGCCTGAGAGCTCTGCTGTGCAGCAGTCGCCATGGCTGCTGAGGTAGCTGCTTCGCTTGTGAATGCCCTGCTTGCCTCTGCGGCCCTAGCTCTCCGCTGCTGCTGCCGCCTCTTCCTCTGCTGGCGGAACAGGTTCCTGTCGCCCTCTGGTCCTTGCTGATTGCTGCTGCTGCTGCCCTCTGGTCCTTGCTGATCGCTGCTGCTGTCGCCCTCTGGTCCTTGCTGATCGCTGCTGCTGCCCTGTGGCCCTAGCTCTCCGCTGCTGCTGCCGCCAAATGGGCTATCGGGCGCCTTGCTGATCGCAAGATCCTATCGTCCTCTCTAGTGTCCTCCCTGTCGCTCATAAGCTACAGAACTGCACACCGACTGCACTAGGTCACTCACTCGATGCCTACCGCAGTGTCATGCACAAACCGATTTCAAAATTAACCGGTGGCTATTTCAGAGTCTACGCATTCGGGTCCAACAGGTAAGTCCAGATTCCCACAAACGAAACTACTTAATTAGTCCACGAACAGATAGCAGATCTAACTATTGCTGTCTGTCAGATGTCAATGGCAGTCCATCTAACTAATCAAGAATAAAAATAGAATCATCTCTGTGGATATTTGCAGAGCGGAATTAAACACGAACTTATCACCTGGAATCTATCCCTCCCTCAGTTCCCTCTTGATGGTCACTTGACGTCAGTGTCCCTGAGCAATCCGGAACAGCGTGCATCTCTAAAGGTGTGCACATGGCCCGCCCCTGTGCCCCGAGCGTATGCTGAGCTGGCCAGCCCTGCACATTGTTTATCCTCGCGTGCAGCGAGCCTTACACCGACCGATTGGCTGATCAGTAGGCGTTTAAGGACGGCCCCTGCAGTCCTCAGTAATTCGTTAACGTTGCAGACAGGAGGAGGATCACAGCTAATCGAAGGTACCCCGCCGGTGTTTATTTATAGACGCCCGGTTCTCGTCTCCCCTGTTGGGCTGGCCTGCCCCTCATAACCCATCTATCAGCGCAACAATCAGACAAAGGACAAAGCAGCAAAGCATGTGTGCACTACTCCCGGTGGGTTGGCATGGTGACCGTGACCCAGTGCTTCGTCCAGGGCCCTTCAGATAGCTCCGCCCTCTCCTTCCAGATGCTCCACATGAACAATGCCGACTCTCAAGTTTGAGTGCACTCGACTCCTCACATGAGAGGACTCTCAAGACAGAACACACATCCTCACGGTAAGAAGTGTCGAAGAGGGTAGATAAGGTTAGGTGCAACGTACCTCAAAATAGCTTCCCCCAACCACAGATATTCTCGCCAGGGTAGATAAGGTTAGGTGCAACGTACCTCAAAATAGCTTCCCCCAACCACAGATATTCTCGCCAGATGACCTGATGCTGACTGTGATGACCAATCGCTGCTTCGGCACAACCAGCATTATACTGCCGTTCCACCTCAGCATCAATTGAACATCAGATAGTTCTCATCACACTACGAACACCCAACTTTCACCACGTAGCCTTCCTGGCGATACCGCTCACCTCGTGGGTTGCCTGCTGGCCCGCCGCCCTCACCACACACTCGCTACGGCCACTCGCCTAGCAGACCGCATGCATGTACCGCATAGACAGAAGACAAGCGCCAGATGAGCGCAACGTACCACAGCTCCGATACCAAATTGCAAAGAAAATGAGCGATCGCGAACTTCAGAAACCAAGCAGCATCATACACATGAGACCAGATAGTCGTGACCCCGAACCAAAAGCAGAATTGCAACACGAGTCTCACCGAATAAGAGCACAGCAAAAGCTCACAAGTGACAATGTTCGAATAGTCTCATCATCATCAACAAAGAACCAATGTGGACATCCTATCTGGCGCTCTGCACCCAGACTACAAATGGCAGATCCTATCTAGCCTATCTACAATGCCGCTGGTGACGTCAACAGCTCCCCAAAGTACGAGCAGATCTCGGCCAATGCCGTTCGCCTCAAGCACCAGGTATGTCTCTCGTATCACTCACAACCTCGATCCCCCACTCACAGATGCCACGTACACCCAAGGACGACCATGCGCCTCATCCAGCTATGCAGTGCAGCTCGGCTATGGCCGCCGGCTTCTCTCTCGGCTCGCCCGTGAGCGTGTGAGCCTGTCCAGCGTGTAGCGCAGCAGCGCTTGCGCAGCATGCAGCCAGTGCCTGAATGCCGAGTGCGGGGGCAGGGCCTTTCCTAAATGGAAGTGCCCTGCTAGCTGCGTGTGGTCAGGCTGTGCTGGGCCTTGGCCCAGAAGCTTCCGGTAGGACCCGAGAGGCTGAGCCCCGGTCCTAACGATCAGGCCCAGGGCCTGTGACGGTTACTTGTGCCCAATTGGCCGCAGTCTGGGTTCGGCCCATGTTGTGCATCTGGCCCAGGGCCTGTGACGGTTACTTGTGCTCAACTGCCCGCAGTCTGGGTTCGGCCCATGTTGTGTATCTGGCCCAGGGCCTGCCTCAGTTGCATACGAAAAAGGCGGCCAGGGCCTGGGCGCTCTCAACCAACTGGCGCTGCACAACTGCCTGAATTTTCCCCAGTTGAGTGGTAGCCTGAAAATAGGCCTTGTGGCCTTGGTCTGGCCTGCCTTCTGCTTGCAGGGTCTAAAGGGGCTCATCGGGGCCTTATGCCTTGCACACTGGGCCATTCTTGTTGCATTACATGAGCTCTACATCACAACCTGTGACAGTTTGTGCAATGTGCAAAGAGCTTTCGAGTCCCTGGCTTGTGGCTTTGGAATGAGTGTGTTCTGTCATGGCAATTGGGGGAATGAGTGTGCTCTACCTTCGCAATTTGGGGAATACGTGAAGACGCATGGGATCTCTGGACCGATCACATTAGATCTTTTGGAGCCTTTTTCACGTTACCATTATAGAATTATGTCCCTGTGGTGTTACACCGGGAACCAGGGGGTATGGATTTTCCGGATGCATATTTTTTCGAAGCAACGGAAAGAGTGACAAGAAAATTGGGAGGAATCTGGCCTGAAATGACGACGAGGATCAAAAGGACTGTTACAAGGACTGGGGAGGGGGACAAAGTCCATGAGACGGCGGAGGACGCGGAACGAGACGAGCAACCTCCCGTGACACAGCGTCACAGAAAATCAAGGGAATGATCTCGCCAGACTCCAAGGCTTGGAAGATTGCTGCAGGCCACGTTACCAGGTTCTAAGACCGTGTTCATGTTTTAAGAGAGCATTTTTTGTTCCTGCCAGCACCTGGAGATACCCGACATGTAGCGGGAGCAATGGATTTGGACCGGACTCAGGTCTGGAAAATATTCAGGTAATCTGGACAGGCTGCAAGGTTCGGGAAGATTGATGCAGATCACGTGACCGTGTCGTATGACCAGGTACATGGTCTAAACATTTTTGATATAATGTCGAAATATTTTTGCTATAACTATTTTTCTGTTTTCTGACTGAGGGGGACCTAGACAGTATGCGGGAAAACGTTTGCCAGCACCTCGATGAGTTTCCAGGGGACTAAGGTAATTTCTCTTAGGAGATACCGGACAGGTATTCGACCTGAAATCCTCGAAAGCTACATTGTGAGATGTAATCCTCTAAAGCTACATTGTGAATATTTCGAGTTTACAAGTCAAGCCTGTCGTGTGCATCCATGCTTGTCCAGCTGTCTGTTAAGGAAGGGAGGCGTTTGAACAAAACTGTCCCGAATGCCGACGGCTTTGTTTGTTGATAGGATGAGTGTTGAAGGGCATGCTCAGTGCCTACACATGGTGTATGCTAGGTGAAGCGCAGGAGCTGAATTGACACACTGGGTAATTGTTGTTGCATTACATGAGCTCAGCACCACTACATGTAATGGTTTGTGCAAAAGAGCTCTCAAGTCCCTGGCTTGTGTCTTTCGAATGAGTGTATTCTACCATGGCAGTTGGGGTAATACTTCAATGTGCATGGGATCTTTGGATTGGTCACATTAGACGGGCTGGAGAGCTGGAAAGGAGAACTTGTTCACATTAGCATTATTATAGAATTATGTCTCTGTGCTGTGCGTCCATGCTTGTCCAGTTGTCTGTGAAGGAAGGGAGGCGTTTGAACAAAACTGTCCCGGATGCCTACGGCTTTGTCTGTTAATAGGATGAGTGTTGAAGGGCATGCTCAGCGCCTTCACATGGTGTATGCTAGGTGAAGCGCTGGAGCTGAATTGACACGCTGGGTTATTGTTGTTGCATTAGATGAGCTCAGCACCACTACATGTAACGGTTTGTGCAAAAGAGCTCTCAAGTCCCTGTCTTGTGGCTTTCGAATGAGTGTATTCTACCAGCAATTGGGGTAATACTTCCAAGGTGCATGGGATCTTTGGATTGGTCACATTAGACGGCCTGGAGAGCTGGAAAAGGGGAACTTGTTCACATTCACATTATAGAATTATGTCTCTGTTGTGTGTATCCGTGCTTGTCCAGCTGCCTCCCTGCCCGCCTGCCTGCTTGCCTGACTGTTATTTCTTTTTGGTTTTCTCTCATACATCTCTGAACTCTACATATCAGGTATTTTCATTATCATATGCTTATTTTTGTTGCTGTCTTTTGCCTGTGCTGGGCTGGTCAGGTTGGATCAGGACGGGCGGGGTCTGATCTGGTGTTACAGCCACCAATGGGGAAGGCTGTGAATATGCATGGCGGGTGAGTCAGGCAACTACTTTCAAACCGAATGTGAGCCACAATCTGCACCTCCCACCCATCTATTCCCCCTATCCCCTCGGCTTCCGGCTAACTCCTGTGCACCAATCTAATTTTATGGCAGTGGAACCAGTTGTGCATTTTGAACAAGCAATCAGAGTGGACGGTGATTGCCGGTAGCTGTGTAGTGAGTTGGATGACTACAATGTTCTCGGAATAATTTAGGACATGGCTGATATAGACACGTGAGAAGAGAAATAATTACTAATCTGTTACCACATGTACAGAGCGATTAACCAGAGTTCTAGACCATGCGACAAGCATACAACTGCTAGTGGACATGGCATGTGGGCTAGCTCAACTCCGTACCTTTATGTTCCTCAGTTGCATGGTCACATCTTGTGCTCGCATTTTGTTTGCACTCCAGAGCATATATCTTCGAGATTGGGAAGTTTCGGCCCCCCTGTCAAACTTGCTGTCCCCTGATCTGATTCACATTTGTCTCCCTTGCTCGTCTCCACTGTTCACTTCCAATCACACATGCATGGCTGTCTGCCTAATCTTTTGTTTTAATCTTTTCAGTGCAGCATGCTTGCTTAGTATGCCTCAGTACCCACTGTTTTCTCACATATTTGTGCACTTGTCTTATGCCCAGGTGGGTCCTGCTACTGCGAGACTTCCTTGTGTCAGAGCACGTTAGCGCTTGCACTATCCTGGATTGTTTACAACCATAGAAGCCCCTAATTTTCAAAGGGCCCAGCTGGGCCACTGGCCGTTCGTACATGCAGGTGGCCAATATTCTGAGCCAATTGCCAAAAATTAAGGTCGGTCCTCGAGCTGGGCTGTTTACGCGAATGGACAGTGTGGGATGATCTTAAATGTTTGTGATCGACCGAGAATCCGGGCAGTTTGTCATGCTGATCTCAATTCTTGTGATTGGCTTAGAATCTGGGCCTAGCAAACATACCTCATCCTATGTGTGAACTTGTCCTTTTCCTTGGTGTGGCATGGCGGTGTCGAGTGCATCGGTCCCACAAGGGGACCCTCCCGACCGCGTCACGCAGGATTTTGGCAGTTGGGCGCAGAATGTTGTGGAGCAGTGTCGCACGAGTGCGCCAGCCATACCTCTCGCTAATCCCGGTTGACAAGGACGACCAGTGTACGAATTCGACCCGTGCACGAATTCGATGCATGAAGCCCTGATCTCTCAGGCATGATCCTACGCCGGTCGACAAGGACGACCAGTGTAACCATTCGATAAAAACTTTAATTCCAATGTGCAAATCGCGTCTAGTCGCTTTTTCCGCTGAACCCACAACTGTTTCGTTGCATGAACATGCAGAAGCCGCGCACGAGACTTTGTATTAAAAATGTGGCGGCGCGAGCCTTTTCGTATCGACTAGCCATGCGCAAATACGTGAGCGGTCGCAATGATGCCGTACTTTGTGGTGCCCATGACCACGTGATTCTCAATGATTTCAAGAATCGCATTCGGCACTCGGGTCGTGTCTTGAGGGGTCGTTCCTCTGACGCTAGACAATTGCTAGTTGCGCTTTCTACCCTCGTCTGCACCCTGCACAGGAGAGTGATATACCAACTGCGGCAATCAGTGGCGGTGGAACACCTTCCAATTGGAGGAGGAAGTCACAACTTCGGAGGCCTTGAAACAAATCAAGGGGTTTCACTTTCGTAGTCGCCATTGATTTTTACATCCAACTCCGAAAATTCAACAAGCCAGCCATATTTGTGGGCATCTCGAATGTACGCATAAAAGGCACGAGTGGTTTGAGCAAATGAAAGAAGCCATAGTATTCAGTGGTGCTAATATGCATAAACGGTGACTACCGCGTTGCTTCGTATGTTACGCATAGAGGTTGAGCAAAAGAGCAATGCGGATTGCACTGGCGGCAGGAGGTTGCGCGATGCAACTAGCTGCACTTCGATTTTCTAATCCAGGTCATCCCCGCTCCAGAAAACACTTCTCAACAAGGAATCCAAATTGTTGCACGCGCATGAACGTGCGTAGACCTTGGCTTATGCTTAACACGCGCGTGCTTTGGCTGTAACAGTTGCGCACAATAAAAAGTCTTTGAATCCTTCAGACAAAGAGGTTGTGTGGTATCAGATGATCACTGTCACAAATATTGATGTGTTTTGTCCATCATCATTCATGCAATACATTGGCAATAACCAAGACTCAATCCGTCATCTTCAACACATACCCGCGATCACATGAAGTTTGAACAACAACATCCAATGCACCAAGGAGTCAACTTTACCGTTCCCCGCGACTCGTACCCCGCCTTACGCGCACAAGCCCCAAGCATTTTTCCACCACCCGATAACAAAGGTACTCAGTTCTCGAAAATGATCATTTAAAAAGAAGTTCTTGTTGGTCTCGCCTGCTAGTACTGAGTAGGTATGTACAAGGCTTTGATAGCTCCACACGGAATGACATATACAACTTGTCTGCCCGAAGTATGCTGCGTGATTTTTTCTTCGCACTTGGAAGGGGCGTGGTTTAGATGCGATATACCCATTGGTAGGATGTATGTCACGTATATGTCTAGTTAGTGCATATTTGCAAGTCTTACTTGTCTAGAAATAGCGAGCTGCTAACATGGGAGACAGACAGTTGGACTCGAACTCGGGCATAGGAATAGCATAGAAAGGCTCAGGAAACTGCCAGCACCACCCCTCCTACCCCCCACCCCTCCTACCCCCCCCCCGAGCGGCCGCCCTGCTTTGCGTCTGGGTACCATGGTTTGTTTCCCGGCTAGCAGAGCTGCCCCCGGTGTGGGAGGAGATGTGAAGGACGTGATGGTGGTGGCACCCCCCCCCTTGCACGGCTTCTCGAGCCCCAAGGGTAAGGCCCTTCCCCCTTCTTCATTTTTGTTGTTTGGTCTATCCTCCCTCCTCCCTGCAGGCTTGCCGGTGATAAGCAACCGGACTTTTGCCCCCCAGAATAGATGGGGCCTCTGTTTCCAAAAAAAAAAAAAAAAAAAAAAACCAAGAAACATATAAAACCCACAGGGCTACGGTGTTAGGTTGAGGTGCAGAGGCAGGTGAAGTTGTGTTGTAAATGGACATGTTATCAAATGATAACAGAAGAGTGACCCGTGTAGGACCAGACCCAAACTAGTCGAACCTTTAATTAAACACTGACTTGCATCACAGTACATGCCAAAAGACCATTGCTAAAATGAATGGAGGGTAGACTCTCTATTGTAGTCTTAAAATCCTCTACTAAGCTTCTTCTAACCTCTCACTGATCGTCATCACAATTTGCCGAAAATTCGGGCAACATCTCCTCTAGATAGGCTGGAATTTGCCGAAAATTCGGGCAACATCTCCTCTAGATAGGCTGGATTGCTATATTTTTTGCTGAAAATTCGGGCAGCCTCTTCCCTAGATAAGGTGGATTGCCATAATTTTTACAATAAAAATTTAATTATAATTTTACAAAATAATTAGTAGCGCTTCTTCCAGGAAAGTAGATTACGAAGATTTTTACTAAGCTAAATCTGAAATCAAAGTACGACTTAACTTTGCAAAGACTGATTGTGTCCAACTTCTTGATTCAGCAAAAATTTTAGCAGCACTTCCTCTAGAATAGTAGAGTACCAAAATTTTGCAGAGACTGATTGTGTCCAACTTCTTGATTAGCAAAATTTTTCGCAGCACTTCCTCTAGAATAGTAGATTACCAAAATTTTTACTAAGTGAAGAAATGGAAGAAGAAAACAATCTGACTTTGCAAACAGAAAATTTAACTAACTCCTCTGAATTATTAAAAATTCAGCAACACTTCCTCTAGGGAAGTAGATTACCAAAATTTATACTAAGACGAGTACAAAAAGTACAATGCAGTCGCTAATACACAACCCCCGGCTTGTAGAAAGTTTTTTGTTGCCACAGGCAAAACTCGGAGGCGCCGCGCGACCAGGGGCGCCGTTGAAAAAATAAATCGGCAGCCTCCGAACTGGTGCGAATTTCATGCCGACACCCGTGGGCCGATGTGTGGTGTACTTGTGCTTTAACTCAATTGTCTGAGCTAGAGATCAATCTCGTGATATTGCTTTTGAGATAGTGTCACGAATCACTCCGACTCCTAGTAAGGTCACTCTACTTTATTACAAGCTTTCCCCCCAATCCATCACTACTCTGCTTATCGCTTCAACACTTGGCGAGCATCTAAGCAACTAACTATCAAAAAGATATCCCCCAAAAGACAAACTCATAGAGCACACAAGTGCACACAACATCATCTCTCACCAAGCCTCAATTCCTTATCAAAATATTTAGTTTGTTTGACTCTCAGATGATTAAACCCCTTCACCCTTTCTTACTTATGGCATAGGGTACGTCCAACCATAAGTATACAACTGCCTCGCCCCAACTTAGGGGTACGTCTAGCCCATTTAGACGATAAACATAAAGCATATGACTAGACCGCCCTAACTTAGGGGCACACCCAACTGTCTGCTTAGACAGTCACATAAGGTGTATGGCCAGACCACCCCAACTTAGGGGTACGCTCGAGACATATAACTAGACCACCCCAACTTAGGGGTACGTCTAGTATCTACCTAGGCACGACAAAAGGCATATGACTAGACCGCTCCAACTTACGGGTCCGTCAAGCCAACCCAAAACAATTACACATGGCGTAGGGTTGTGCTGCCCCAACTTAGGGGCACGTTCAGCCTTCGTAATATCATAACGTTTAACTATAACTTAAACATATAAATTCACTAATTCCTTCTCTCTTCTAAGCAGATGATCAGACCTACCCAACTCAGGGAGATATCCAATCCTGCCGTAGTCGTATTTAATAAACAAGTTTTATACTAACTTCGTGTTTTTTATATCATCATGGGCATAGGACTGAACCGACCCACCTTAGGGGTACCTTCAACCTTTTCAAGTTACCTTTTCGTATTATATTATGAATTCTTTGTTTTTTGCTTTTTCATTTAGCCTCGCTTATTGAGACCGCCCCAACTTAGGGGTATGTCTAGATTGCCAAATAATATACACGATGATATAAATATGGTATTAAATTGTTACTATGGTTTCATTTTACATTCATGGCTCATGACTAAGCCACCCA